CTCAAAAACTTTGTGCACCAAAAGTATCCCACAGAATGGGGAGGGGCAGGATGCATTAGTTGGGCTCTGGAGTCAAAAGATCCATTCTTTCTAGAATCCATAGGCCTTCAACACTGCAAATCTACCATATATAGAGCATTTCTGCCCAAAGTAGACAGCATCAAAGAGATGGTCAGTTGTCTTCTCAAAAGAGAACACAATGTTAGTGGTGAAACTTTGAACTTGCCTGGCAGGTGATTGTGTGCTGGAAGCTCCTTTTTCTTGGCCAGGCCAAATCTGCTCATACCCAGGACTTCACCTTGAGCCAAGGAGATAGTCCATGACTCACAAGACAATCCAGAAAATTCAACACTGCAGGAAGTTCACTCTTTCTTTTCCTCAGTCTTCTTCTCTTGGTTCGTGGCCCCCCTCTTGACTGTCTCTCTTCTCTTCCTCTCTCACTTTCTCCTCCTCTGCTCTCAAGGCCAAGTTAAGTCTGCTGGCCTTGTTCAGTGTACTAGTTTATCTCCCTGTTTGTAATTCTTTCAGATGCCTCTGGCTGTACTTTCCCTCATGTCTACATTTGTCCATTCTCAAGAGTACCCTGGGGGTTGGAAAGAGGGAGCAGGTCTCCCTCATGTCCAGGACTTCCTGATATTCCCTACATAGTGCAAATCATTTGTCTATCTAGATGCTCCTGTGGTTCCATGACAATGGTGTTGGGGCTAACAGTTTCTTTCACACTTAGCAAAACTGAGTTCAAATGACACAAGTCCAAGATCTGCTTGCTAAGGCTGCTTACTAAAATGTGGAATGGCTAGAAGCAGAGTTGGGGCCTCTCCAGCACAGAGAAAAAGAAAGGCATAGATGGTCATTCCATAAGTCACAGGGCCCATGTCAAGATGGGCACTTACTGATAGAAGAATAATATCTACTTGGTTATCTCCCTGAACTTCTCTGAGGCCTTGATGTTCTTATACTGCAAGGTATTTAGTTCCTTCATGACTTGTTTATGCTCCATCCTCAGTTTCTGATGAAAAGGATTTGGCTTGTGGTAGGTTCTAGAAATAGGAAGAAAGAACCCCATGAATACAGGCCTCAAGGATCACAGGAACTCAAATTTTATCCCAGTCTACCACCTCACAGTTGATACTATGTACTGGGTATTCCTCATGCTGCTAAAGTTTTGATCCTGGCCCCAGGACAACAGAGGGTAAGTGTTGAAATGGAGGGTGCCCTGGCTGTATGAGATCACTCAGTAGGCCTGGAGGAACAGTATAGATCTCTATGTTACCAGGTGTTATCAGGAGTCTATGCCATTGGTCTTCACACATTCAATAGGGCAAGGACATTTCTCCCAATTCATATAAGTGATTCTATATCCTGGATGACTAGTTAGATTCTATATCCTGGATGACTAGTTAGACAGAGCACATAATCCTGGAGTTGAGACACAATTTCAGGATAACTATATAACCCCCCCCAAGTGATTCCTAGGTGCCACCAAGGTGAGCATATATGACAAGAGCAGTGATGGATAATGTGAGGTTCCCATACATCAGCACTGGCATGACCTGGAAAATGAGATAGGCAAATCCTCAGGCCCTGGGACAGATCTCTGACTTCTAGAGTGTGTAGGGACACACAAACCTGCAAAACCTTGTATGCACACATAGACACACACATGCACAAACAAACAGACACCAACACACAAGAAATAGAGAGAAGATGGAGAGACACTGAGAGACACAGAGGGAGAGATATAGAGACACAGAGAGAGGGCCAAGTCTTAGATCCTTAAAAATGCATGAAATAGAATTGCCTAAAAGCACAAGGCACAAGACTAGAGAGAAACAGTGATGAGGCCCAGGACTTCCAGTCACTCACTGTAATGGAGCAAGTAAGACCAGGAACCTCCAGCTGCTACAAGGAGCTTCCAGCACACAATCACCTGCCAGGCAAGTTCAAAGTTTCACCACTAACATCAACTAGTATCTCCCTGAAGCCACCACCTGGCAGGTTTTCCAAATGCATGTTGGGAACTCACACACTACTGCTTTAATCCCTGAGTTATGTGACTCAGAGCACAGGCTCTAGTATTCATTAGAAGAAAGCAGAATAGTTATAGTCACCATCTCACTTCCTCTACAGCTTCAGGTCTGCCTCTCTTCTGAGAAGAATTCAGGACATGAGGTTGGGCACAGAGTCACTAAGGAGGCACAGCCTCCTAGAATGCAAGATCTTAAAAGGAAGAAGGTGAGTGTGACATTACTAACAGTCCCATGGAGTTGGAAATGATGGATACCTAACTTCCATGGTTCCTTCTGTGATGAAGATCAGGTAATCTTTCAGCTCATTTCTTTGGATGGTCACCAGCTACAGCTCTGTAGTCAGCCTCTCCATTTCCTTCTGCACCTGTTTTTTGGTGAAGATGGCTGTGTCAGATGAAGGCTCCATAGCAGCCTCTGTATGCAGATGAACACAAGTAAAATTGCATAGTGACATGACATAGAGAATGTTCAGACCACCCTGAGGCCAAAACAGAAAGATCATGTCTGAAACCCAGTGACAGCCCAAATATTTTGGGCCAGTTGAGATTCCCCCTGTGTGTATCTCAGCTCTGCCATCACTCTATAGAGATGTGGCTAAGTAATCAACCAGGATAGTTTTCCTCTGTGACCATGCACACTCTTCAGGTGAACACATAAACGACCTCTTCAGCCTTATTTACAGCATCACCAGATGCAACATGGTCCAGAGCTCTGAAGCCTGCCTGTGGTTTCAGAAGCCAGGAGAAAAATGGCACAGTGCACAAGCACTCAGGTGTTGTGAGGAGCCCAGATCTTCTGCCTGGTCACTCTAGGCTTATGATTGTAGATTCAAATATCATGTAGGGGCACAACATGTACAAAATACACAGCAAGTCACCCCAATGACAGTCCAGGAGAGGGAAGCTCACTTTGTTTGAGATCCATGAATTCTGAGTGTGTATTGGAAAATGATGAATGGTTCATAACCAAAGTGTAACACCTATTAAATGAATATACAGATACAAGTATTTCCAAAGAGCACCTTGACTGCCTCCACACCAGCAGGTATATCAGGAGAATTTGGGAAGGTTGGCTGGGTTATTCACACAGGTATTAGAGTCACCTACTTTCTGCTTGGTTCATCAAGTAGAAACCTAAAGAACAACTATATGCCAGTTATCCTTAACTTCATGTATTTGGAGATGTGGAGTTCAGGACATGATATGGTGAAAAGCAGTGGTATATGTCACTGAGAAGACCAAGGGGAGGAGAGCAGAAATGGTATGGCTGCCTAGTCAAACCTAAGGAGACAGTTCCAAAAACCCAGGCTATAAATACCAATGCTGTTCTCATGCTTTTCCTTTATCTACAGTAGGGTTCAATTCCTCTATATTGGTCAGACTTCTCTTTTCTGAAAGCACTTTAAATGAGTGTGACCACTTCATACTGACAAGCACTATACACAGGAGTAGTATGCTAGGTCTTAAAAACCTTAGCACAAAAGACAATGTAAAGGGCTGTGGGAGTTATTTTGAGGGGGAAAGAGGGATTAGTTGAGGCATACATTTTTAAGATACAAGGTTAAAGAAAATATACTTCAAAACCCAATTTCACTTGTTTTATTTTCTCTGTCACTACGTGCATAAGTGTATATGGTAGCACACATCCATGTATATGATTGTGGGCACACATAATGTAGTAGATATTTGGAGGTCAGAGTAAAAACCTTGGGTGTTGATCCTCATCTTCCCCCTTGTTTGAGATGTCTTCTGTTTTTCCAATGCATGTAACTGACTAGTGGCCCATGAGATTTAGGGATTCTTTTGTCTCCATCTCCCATTTTTCCACGTACATCCAGTTTTTACTGGGGTCCTGGGCAGGCTGCCTTGGGTCCTCACACTTCTGCCAGAGTGCAAATACCCACTGAACTGTTTCATCATTGTTTGTTTTCTTAAAATATTGTGTTTATGGGAGACAGGGGCAGTGGAATTGCTGCAAATTCAATGTCAGCCAGATCTCAGTATTGAGTTCCAGGGCAGACAGTGTATCATTTTTCTTCAAGAAATAAACAAGTATAATGAAAATACAATAAAATTGGTTTACTAGCAAATTTACAATGACTACTTTAGTTCACATTACATTCAATTGGCAGCATGATTCTTAGATAAACGTAATGTGAACATGCACACTATCTACTCTAGCATTTGGTCTTTAGTCAAGATCTTGATGGTATTCTGTTAATCATGTGTCAGATACTAGCATCTTAGGGAATCATACACTGAAATGGAGTCAGGAGCTAAACAGCAGACTGTTAGGAATAACACTTGTAAAATTAAATGGAAAAAAGACTGAATGGAAGAGAGTTATGGGTCATTAAGCAGACATGATAAGATCATCCAGACTGATTAGTGCTTTGTCCTTTAGTGGTGTCCTACTTAGGGCAGAAATGGCTGGCCCATGTATCATTTTCTTGATCAATTATCAGTTGGGGGTTGGCTTCCTTAATCCATTTGTGGTGCCACCACTAAATACTTGCTGGGCTAACTTAGAAACAAAAGAGACTTACTTCTCACAGTTCTGGAGATTTTCTTCCAAGATCCAAGTAATGGTACTGACACCTGGTAAGGTAACTTGTAGCCATGGACTACATGACAGAAGAGCATAAGATCAGAAGTGCCAGATAAGATGTGAAGGCTCTTGTACAAGTCATTTCCACCCTCAAGACTTAGCCACCTTGTTTTCTTACTATCACCTTGGTGATTAACTTCCAGTTTAAATTTTGGAGGGATATATTCATAACATGGCCAGAAGCAGGGCACATTATTCTCTGCCAGGCAGTATGTTCTCTCTTGTCAGGGACCTCTGCTGTACAGCCCTACAGTCACCATATTAATTCCAACCATACCCACAAACACACATAAAATTAAATTGTAATACACATTTAATGATATATATCTCAAAATAATATTTATATTTACTTACTTAAACACATCCAAATTAAAATATGTAACAATGAACAGTTCCAACACCTGGACTATGACCTACCCTAGACCTAGACCCCCCCATCCTCTTATATGTAGTATTAACCAGAAATAAGCAGAAAGACTCAATTCACCCTGGCCAATGCACTAGCAAATAAACATTAACACACCATAGTTTTGGGTAACTCCACTGATGCAATAAAATCAGAAAAGGAATAATTAAAGTCCAAGTTGTAATCTAAGCATTTCCAGTTGGTCTCAGGAAAGAGGGGAAACCAGGAGGCAAGTCTATGGGCCAGACCTTAAATAACCATCCAAGGCTGGAGCTTGTGCTTGAGGGGTTTTTTTGGGTGTGCAGCTCCAGGGGAGATCCCCAACATACTTTTATAAACTATTGCATATAGGGAAACAGATAGCACAGTGAACACAGAGAAACAGATGGAAGAGTAGGTCATGGACTTGAGCTTTAGAAAGTTGAGCAGATCTTACCACATCAGAGAATTCTGTTTCTCATACTTAGGTGTTTACAGCTTTGGGAAATAATTTTCTGAGCTCTTTGAGACTCAATTTTCTCATTGGTTAAAAAATAGAGCACTAATAGAGTTCAGAGAGGAATACAGGATAGAAGCTCAATACAAGAATATGCTCCAAATATACATCTGTATTCTGAAACCCCTATTATCATTATCATATCAAAACCCCATTATTGTCATTGCTATATTTTGGTTCATGTTTGTCAGTGGTTGCAGGTGAAGATTAGTCAGGTCAGAATTGATTACAAAGTGTCTCCCATGGGCAAACTGAGTTCAGGCATGATTCAGTAGTTGCCTTGGGTGGGACCTAGGCAGTTTAGAAGTATCAGGTGGTTCCCCAACACTCCAAGGAATTTACCTCCTAAAAGATTCATGCTAAAAGCATACTATTTCACATATAAGACAACAGCACCACCAAGTAATTAGACCAGTTATATGTATTACAATGAATTTGAGTTGTCTAACACAAATGAGTTGATTAACATGGCGCTTGTACCCATCATGTTCCAGCAGAGGGGATCACTCACTTTCCTTGGCCTTGGATAAAGATTTAGGGACATGCAAGCTAGTGGGAGAGATAGGGTGACTCCATGTATTCTTTTGTTTCATTGCCTTGGTTGTTTTCACAAACTTCAACATGTCTGATACTCATTCTCCTCTTCTGCATTTCCTGGCTCTAAATTGACACTTGTTTCTTCAATTATTGCTTGCTGGGTTTGTCCCGTGGTTGCATGGCCCTCCTTAATATATTCTCCTATAGAAAAATTTGAAGATTTAAACTTAAAATTTAAAAATGACAGAACCAAACTGCTTCTCCTAATCATTACTTTTCTTTGTACAGGCTACTGCCAAGTCTTTAGCAAATATTTAATATCTTTTGTGCAGATACAAATTAAAGAATGAAACAATTCCACTTCTTAAGATTATGTGCCATTGAGCCAGGCAGATCTCTGTAAGTTCGAGGCCAGCCTAGGCTACCAAGTGAGCTCCAGAAAAGGCGCAAAGCTACACAGAGAAACCCTGTCTCAAAAAACCAAAAAACAAAAAAAAAAAAAAAAAAAAAAAAAAAAAAAAAGATTATGTGCCATGAAAGACAGTTGAAGAACCATTACTATTAAATGAGATAAGCATTGTAAGTGAAGTTTGTGGGCACATATGAAAATGAATGTACCATCTAGATTTATGTTCACTTGACACAGGCTAGATGATTTGGGAAGAGGGAATGTCAAGTGAGAAAATGTCCACCAAAAATTGCATGATGGGCAAGCCTGTGGTGCATTTTCTTATTAATGATTAATGTGGTTGGGATCATTCCATAGGGAATGGTGCCACCTCTGGATGGGTGGTCTTGGATAATGTAAGAAAGCAGATTAAGGCTGTTCATGTAGATCTCATCCTTTTCTCCATCATTTGGGAGATCCCCGTGTCTTTCTTTGTGTCCTGTTTTCCAGGTAGCCTCCCTGGTGATGTGAGTAGCAGTCTAGTCATCCTTGTTCTACATCCAGTATCCTCCTATGAGTGAGTATATACCATGTTTGTCTTTCTGTGTCTGGGTTACCTCACTCAGGATGATTTTTTCTAGATCCATCCATTTGCCGGCAAACCTCATAATGTCATTGTTTTTCTCTGCTGAGTAGTATTCCATTGTGTATATGTACCACAATTTATTTATCCATTCTTCAGTTGAAAGGCATCTAGGTTGTTTCCAGGTTTTGGCTATTACAAACAATGCTGATATGAACATAGCTGAGCAAGTGCTCTTGTGGTATGAT